ATTCAGAGTCATCTGACACCCGCGTTGGGCTTTTCTTCCTCCTCTGCCTTTGTAATGAGCTTTTACATTCTTCATGGATGGTAATCTTGATATTCTCCCACAGCTCTTTTGGTCTTCGCTCATTGGTATTCAAAACCTGTTCCTAACATAGTTTTGAAATTTGAATGGGATAGACGTAAGGTCGAATTTTGGTTCCTGTGGATTAGATTTAATTTTCTTCAACTTCAGCTTGAACTTGCTTATGAGTAGTTGGTGGTCTGTTCCACATTTAGCAGCCGGCCTAGTTTTTGAAGCTGATATTGAGCTTTTCCAGAAGATTCTTCCCACAGATGTAATAGATTTGATTCCTGTGCATTCCATCAGGTGAAATCCATGTATATAGTCTGCTTTTGTGTTTCTTATAAAAGGTATTTGCAAGGAGTAAATCACTGAAATGTGCAGAATTCTGTTATTCTATCTCCAGCCTCATTTCTGCCAAGTCCATGTGTGTTGTTTTTTTTTTATTTTGTTAATGTTAATAAACATTCACAGAGATTTCGGATTTCCATTCATTCATTCTTGCACTATTTTCTCTACCTCCTCTCCCAGTTCGTTCCTCTCTCTTTTTTCCCCCTTGAAAGTCAGTTTTAATTGTCCCATTGCCTCAGTGCTTGTCGAATCCAGTTCTGATTAATCTCCTTTGTCAGTGTGTCCTTTGCCATTCCCCATCACTACTTCCTGAGAGAGATGTCACCCTGATTCATAAGGAAAAGGGGACAGCGTATTCTCTTAGCTACTTCCTGCTGAAAAGGGATGCTGTAGGTTTCAGGGTGAAGATCTTCTCTCACTACTCTAAAGGGCCCCTTTGGCAACAGGAAACACATAGAGTGTTGTGGAGATTGATTTTGGAATTTAGATGCACTCTTATCGATTGTGCTTGGCCGTACATGTTCATATCCTTGAAGATGCATCATGGAACTGTTGCAGCCTAGAAGACAAATATTTAACTAACAAGTTAAAAGTACATGAGTCAAAAACTAAAAGCAATACTATTCCAAGTAGAGGTTCAAACAGTGGCACAAATCAAGTTACAGAGGGAAGGTAGTTCTTAAAATAAAAGGCTTATTGACTAGCACTTTGCCTATTACAGTATAAAGGTTAGGAACCACAAGATGTAGAGGCTCAACTATGTCATTTATTGTCCTTAAGTCCTGAATCAAATTCCATCTACCACTGGGTTATTTTGCAGCTCGGAAATCTGCATGCAAGGCAGAGGTGAAGTAAGGAACTGCTTATGAGGTTTTCCGTCAATTCCAACAACTAAGAAATAGTGAGAAGAGTTGGGATCTCAGAAGGCTTTTAGGACTAAATAATAGGCTCTTGTGTCCAGGAGAAAATGAATATACTTACCAGCAAGGTTAATGCTCACCCACGGCTCTGCTGGGAGGATCTAAATTGTTGAAGCAAAGTCCATGTTCTTCAACTACTGATCCTTCTTTCCTGTTTCCAACTTTTGCATTCCAGTAGACCGTTATTATCAATGCATTTTGATTGCATGTCTGATCGCTTTCTGACTGCAAAAGTTGGTAGAAATTTAGAACTAGGAAAGATTGGGAAATACTGCCTTCCATTCACATTTTAATGAACCTGGAAGAAGTAAGATGCCTATTGCCATAGAGCATCATTGAGACCAACTCTCTTGCTCATCCTCTCCTTGGGGAAGGATAAAGAAGGTATTGTTTTTATCCTTTTAGGTACATGTGTATGTACTTTGTTTGCTTCTTTCTGTTTTAGCTACTGATAAACCTCTCATCTCAGAAGCTTGTTAACCCTGCCCTTTCAAGTGTCTGAAAATTCTAATGTCTTCAGGGGTCACAGTCTAAAGACAATGTGAGAAGTGGTGTGTTATTGTTAGATGCCATGGAGGTGTATTTTCAGTCACTTGCCACGCATCTGAGAGTCAGACAATGAACAAAGATGACAATAGAAGAATTGACACCTCTGTATTCTGGTGTTGGGATAAAGTATTAAATATTGGGTGGACTGCCAAAAGAACAAACAGATATGTCTTGGAGTAGGTACAGCCAAAGAGCTCCTTCAAGGCAAACATGACAACCCTTTGTCTAATATACTTTAAGCATGTTGTGAGGATAGGCTATTCCTTGAAGAGGAACATGATGCTTGGAAAGGTGGTGAGTCAGTGAAAAGAAAGAAAGACCCACAACCAAATAGATTGACACATTAACTGCTGTGGTGGGCTCAAGTATGTCACAAATGATTAGGATTGTACAGGATAGGACAGAGGTCAAATCTGTGGTTTATAGAGTTATTATGAATTGTTCTGGACTCGATAGCACCTAACAATAACTTGATATAGTGGAGTGTCTTATCTATACTCCGAAAAAGAATTTTTCACAAGATACTTTTGTGAATCAAGGGGAAAAGAAAAAAAGAATGAGAGAATAAAGCAGCATTTACTTTTACTTAAAATTCCAGATACTACCCTAAACATTGCTCATCCTTTTAGGAACTTATCTAAACTAATAGTTGCACACTTGACTTCATTTCCTGTGAATTAAAAAGCTAACTGCATGTTGTTGTTATTGGTAGGTGCCATTGAATTGTCTACAACTCAGTGACTATGAATTGTAGATCTGAACCTTACTCTTTCTTGTACCACCCTCTTGATCTCTTCTATGTTAGATCCTTTGTTACAGTCATTGTATCAATCATCTTGAGAATGTTCCTGTCTTTCTCTGACCCTCTATTTCTTCCAGTATGATGTCTTTGCCCAAAAATTGACCTTTCTTAACAACATCTCCTGGGGACTCTGGTGACCTAAAGGCACACAATTCTAATCTTCCAGCCACTCCTTGGGAGAACGATGGAAAACTCCTCCCATGTGATTACTATTAGATAGAAAAAGATTTGAGGGCCAGTGAGAGAAAGAAAGAAACTGGTCCCAAGAAATGAACAGGCCTTTATTTCATGGTCTGAAAGTGGGAAGTGACTAGGCTCAGAGAAAGTAAAAAAATGGCACACTGGCAGTTAGGGGCAGTTTCTTCTTATAAGGGTCCTGGGGAAGAGGGAAGATGGTACTTCTCAGAATTTGGGGTGGTAATTAAGTTGGGTTTGAGCTTTTGTGATCTGGCTCAGAACTTTATCAGGATCCATTGTCTGGTCTGATCTTTGATATGGCCACCTCAGATGTTATCAGATTCCTCAGGAAGTGATCCGTTCTGGGACGAGTAACTGCTGTATTCTTCCTCCAAATACAGGCAATGAAAATCCATGAAAGGGTCAACTATGGGTCAGTCCCAACTTGCTGGTACACAACAACAACAATAACAACATGCCCTCAGTATGTGTTTCATCATCCTTGCCTCTAAGGAGCGACTGTGGGAAAGATCATTAACCATTCATGGGCAAGTTAAAGTTGAAGCTGAAAAAAATTAAAACACTCCCACAAGAGCCAAAATATAACCTTGAATCTGTCCCAACCAAATTTGAAAACTGTCTCTCAAGAACAGATTTGACTCATTAAACACTGATGCCTAAGACAAGATGAGTTGTGGGATGACATCAAGGCCATCATCCATGAAGAAAGCAAAAGGTCATTACAAAGACAAGGAAAAAAGAAAAGACCAAGATGGATGTTAGAAGAGAGGAGGAAACTTGCAGTAGAATGTAAAGAAGCCAAGACAAAGGGGAGAAATGCTGCAGTAAGAGAACTGAAGATATCAAAGGGCAGCACAAGAAGACAAAGCAAAATATTATCCTGAAATGTGCAGTGAGCTGGTGTTATTGTTGTTGTTGCTATGTGCCATCGAGTTGCCTGCGATTCGTAGCAACCCTGTGTACAATAGTCCTAAACCCTGCTCTATCCCTTGCCAATCTTATTGTCTCTGATACGCCTATCCCTATTACACCAGTGACAGAATCAACACACTTCATAGAGGGTCTTCCTCTCCTGCGATGTCCCTCCACCCTCTCAAGCATTGATGCCCCTCTCCAAGGACTAGCCCCTCCTTTCAACATGTCCAAAGTATGTCAGACGAAGCTTCAAAATCCTTGCATCCAAGGAGCAGCCTGGCTTTATCCTCTCCAGGATGAGCTGGAGTTAGAAAACTAAAAGCAAAGAACACATTCTGCATTTCTCAAGCTGAAATAACGAAATAATTTCGAGCCTTGAGTTGTAATATTAAAGGATTCTATGGGCAAAATCTTGAAAGATGCAGGAAGCATCAAAAGAAGATGGAGGGAATGCACAGAGTCATCCAGGTCTATACTCACAATTATTCCAAGAGGCACATCAATTTCATTATCCACTTGTTTCCTATATGGCAGCAAAGTTAACTGTGATAATTTTTTGTGTTCCAATACTAATAACTCTTTCCCTCCTCTTTAAGTTCTTGATTCCATCTTGTCTTATGACCATAGGTAGAGATTATTTTAAGGTGAACTTGTAAATCTCCATTCCTGTCTCTAACTTCTAAGGAAGGGGCATGGATTTCAAGAGAGACTAGAGGGAATGAACGTAGAGAATCCTCTAAAGGGCCTTGGTAACGCTAGCCTTGGACTCTAGATCTACCGTCATCAGGAGTTCTAAGCTGAAGGGTTTTTCTTTGTCCCTTCTAGAAACCCTTGACTCAGTTTCCCATCTTCGCATTGCCATGGTACTAAGCTGAGTGTTTAGACCACAGTAATTCAATAGTGAGTCAAACTGTAGGTTTTGTTTTGTGATTCCTTAGTTCTGCCACAGAGTATGCCGCATAAGGCTATGTAGAACGTGACCACTTTATCTTTCCATGAAAGAAATGGTAGAGAAAATGATTGCACTTCATCTTGGCAAGCCAACGGTAGCCTGCAGAGGTCACTTTTCTGTGCTCTAATGAGTATATTATTAAAGGAAATAATTACTATGTAAAATGCTGAAATGTACTTGGTTCTTTGTTCATCTGCTTTTACATGTGTCATTTACCTCCAGTTTCTGATGTTCCTTTGTTTTCTGTGTGTTGCAGGCAGCATTGTATACCTCGGAATGATGGTGGGGGCGTTCTTCTGGGGAGGACTGGCAGACAAAGTGGGCAGGAAGCAGTCACTTCTGATCTGCATGTCTGTCAACGGATTCTTTGCCTTCCTCTCGTCATTTGTCCAAGGTTATGGCTTCTTCCTCTTCTGTCGCTTACTTTCTGGATTCGGGTAAGCTCTTCACCTTCCTATTTTATGATACTGTTTTTATTCTTCACAACTATACGTATTATTCACTTAGAAGACCTCTTTACCAAGAAATGATCACTAAGTACATCTCCTTTCCTATTCTCATGTCAGCCTTAGAAGCCATAATGCTCAGAGCTGGACATAACAATTACCCACCTTTAAATATACAAAAGGAGGGAATACAGCCCTGTGTTGTGCGGACAGTTTCAGTGATTTGCTTCTAGGAAATGAGTGTTGTGGTCAGTGGAATTGCTGTTTCTGTGGCCGTGCTCCTTAATGATTATTTTTTTCTTTGAAAATTTAATTTAAGCAGGAAATCACCATAGTCCTAGCTTTTATGAAGTAATTAAAGTTTTATACCACTCAGGCATACCTTTAAAGCTAGAATTAGTGTTTCAAGTAAATGTTGTTTCATTGCTCTGTATTAACAGCATATTTAACTAGGGGGATACTTGCTTCTTGAAATATACTAAAACCTAAAAACCTCACTCTCAGTGCCATCAAGTCCGTTCTGAATCATAACAGACCTCCATTAGGGATCAGAGGCTGCGAATCTTACCAGAAGGAGCAGGTACTCCATTCTAATCACTGCGGACACAGTCTTTTGGTTAGCCTTGCAATACACAACTCATGTGCTTAGCAAACTCTTCAAGTCCTGTTTTTCATTCCTTTTGAGTTGATGAAGACCAAATGAATAAAGTTTTCCTCGTTCTGTGTCACCATCCTCCAAAATGTTGAAATGTTACTAACTGTAAAAACTGCTACCAGCAACGGAACATAAGGTTCTCACTTCTGTCCATTGAAGCTGCACAGTGGAACAGCGTAGGCAATTGTTTGTGGAGCCCTAGTGATGCGTAAGGTGCCAAGCTGTTAACCCAAGAGTCAGCCATTGAGAGCCACCACCTTCTCCCTGGGAGAAAGATGGAAACCTGCATCTGGAAAGACTAGTCCTGGGAACCCAGTGGGAGGTCGTGTGAGTTAGACTTGGCTGGCAGTTGGTTGGGTTGGGTTTGGTCTTCAGTATCTATTTAAGTGGTGCAAATAGTAAACTTCTAACCTGGTAACAAAAAGGCTGAAGGTTCAAATTCACTTAGAAGTTCATCTGAACAAAGACCTTAGTGATCTAGTTCCACAAATGAAACATGAAAAGCACTCAGGTGCATGATTCTACTCTGACACAGTTGTGGTCCTATGAAGTGGATTTGATGCATCAGTAACTGGGTGCAGTTTGTTTTATTTCTTGTTTGATTTTTGTACGAATGACACATATTCCCAACATCTCTGTCTTATTCTAATATGGAAGCATCATTCTTGGTACTGGGTTGAAAAATCTTCAGGGCTTATAAAGTCATTGTCTCCAGAAGTGCTTTCTCATTAGTTCACTTATTCACCAAATGATGAACATGTCTTCTCAGAAACACCAGTATGTCCAGCTTCTGTTTGTTGTTGTTGTTATGTGCCGTCAGGTCGCTTGAGACTCTTAGCGACCCTGTGTACAACAGCCCTAAACTCCGCTCTGTCCTGTGCCAATCGCACTGTCTCTGACACTCCCATCCCAATTATCCCAGTCACTGAATCAATCCACCTCATAGAGGGCCTTCCTCTCCTGCGCTGTCCCTCCACCCTCCCAAGAATGATGTCCCTCTCTAAGGACCGGTCTCTCCTCACAACATGTCCAAAGTATGTTAGACGGAGCCTCAGAATCCTTGCCTTCAAGGAGCCACATGGTTTAACCCTTTCCAGGACAAATCTGTTTGTTTTCCTAGCAGTCTATGGTGTTCTCAATACTCTTCTCCAGCACCACAGCTCAAAGGCATCAATGATCCTTCTATCCTCCTTTGTCATTGTCCAACTCTCTGATGCATAACAAGTGATTGCGAAGACCATGGCCTGTATCAGACGCACCTTAGTCTCCAGAGAGACACCATTGCTCTTCAGTACTTTGGAGAGGTCCCTAACAGCAGACTTTCCCATGGCAATGCGCCTTTTAATTTTCTGGCTGCTGGTGCCAAGATGTCCAGCTTAGAATAATAAATATGCTGCATGACTTTCAATATTTATTCAGTACATTCCCTGCTAGAGACAGAAGGACTTTGTGGGAGGACAGAAGAGGACATCATCAATTACTCATCTGTCTCTCACTTTCCTTAGTGACTCTCACACCAACAAACAGACACTGACCTCCCTCTTATGTTACAGAAAATTAGAAAGATGGGAAATGGGACAGGCACCACTGATTCATTTTCATTTGCCTCGAAATGAAATTATTTGTTTCCAGTCACTGTTAATTATAATGCTTCAGAGGGTAATGCCTTGGATAATGCTTCGGAGGCCAGGCAAAGTCAGATCTGGAGCTTCTCCTTGCTAAGCATGAAGGTCAGGAGAAAGCGGTAACAGAAATGAAAGTGCAATTCTAATGGGTCTCACTCATATTGTAAGAGAAATAAAAATGATTCACAGGCTAATCACCTAATGAATAATCAATAATAATCTGTGACTGGAGTCTCACAATTGCATCTTTCATAGCTGTTTTCAATATCCTTTCATCAACCACATTGTAACAAGAACACTTTGTAGCAATAAAAAATAAAAATACTACCAGACTTCATCAAAATCCTTTCTATGTAACATTTCATTAATAACATTTCATCTCAGTAGGAATGCAAAAAAATATTATGCTTGTTTAAATTAGAAAATTGAAACATAGATGATGTGATTTAACAAAGTATCCAACACCACCTATCACAGTTCTTCTGATTTTTCTTCTAATTTTGAACTAGAAGGCTCCCTTTTCAAAGAAGCTGCTATGTCTTTAAAGCAGTCTTTTAGGACAAGTTTTACTTTCTTGTCATATTTTTTAAAAAAATATAGACTCCTTTCAATTTTTTCAAGACTTTTTAAAAAGTAAATATTTTATTATTTTAAAGTTTACAAAGAAAATTTTTCAGAATTTTTCAGAATTCAGAAAATTTTTCACTCAACAATCCATATAGTTATTCCACGACACAGGTTACAGTCACTACGTGTCTCTCTTCATCATTTCTACCCATCCAGCCTCCTTGGCCCTTCCCTGCCTTCTCATCATTGTTTAGTATAAATGTTAATCCTTTGCTCTCAAACTGTTGGTTGCTTGAAAGAGCACATTTCTCATGTGTCATTGTTTTATAGACGAATCTATTGTTTGGGAGTAGTCAGTTCTGAGTTAAAGGGTGTCTTAGGGCAATAGTCCCAGGAGTACTTCTAGTTTCTGGAAGTCTAAGAAGATTAGACTACCTATAAATTTGAGTTTTGTTTTTTGCTTTTCTGCCATTCTACCTAAAATCTTCTATCGTGCCCCAGCTTTAACTGGCAGTATATGAGCACCATCTAGTTATTCTGGTCTTAGGCTGGAGGGGGCTGTGGTTTTCATGGACCACTTGTGTTGGAGGTGAATTTTTCCCTTGAGTCTTTGATTTCTTCCTTTTCTTTTGCTCAGGACAGGAAGAGACCAATAATTGTATCTTAGATGATCACTTACGAGTTTCTATAACCCTAGAAGCTATTCATCAAATTGGCGAGCAGAACATTATCATTACCAAGTTATGCCACTTGACCCTCGTTGTCCCACAATACTATAGTCCTGAACCTTCTCCATACCTTTTCAACATGTATGCAGAGCAGACTATCCAAGAGGCTGGGCTCTATGAGGAGAATTGTGGCATCAGGATTGGTGGGAGATCTATTAACAATCTGGTGGCATTGGGCTAGGGGTAAGACTGAGAAAAACTGGATGAAATATGTTTACGGCATTGAAGTCTATGGGGGAGAGAATAGTCTAAAAGTATTATATTTTAGGGCATTATTTT